TCATGGCCTAATCCAACATGATGAAGATTTGGGCCTACTTTTTCTTCTTTTGGGCATAGGATCTCTGGTCTAATTCCTAGGTCCTTTATCCACTTTGAGTTGAATTTTGTGCATGGTGAGAAATAGGGGCTTAATTTCATTTTGATGCATATGAATTTCCAGTTTTCCCAGCACCAAATGTTGAAGAGGCTATCTTTTCTCCAGTATATGTTTTTGGTGCCTTTGTCTAGTATGAGATAACTGTTTTTATGTGGGTTTGTCTCTGTGTCCTCTATCTGTACAGTTTGGTATACCAATCTATTTTGGTGCCAATACAATGATGTTTTTGTTACTATTGCTCTGTAGTATAGTTTAAGGTCTGGTATTGTGATGCCACCTGCTTCACTTGCTAAGTACTGCTTTGGCTATTCTGGTCTCTTATTTTTCCAGATGAATTACATGATAGCTTTTTCTATGAGGAATGTCATTGGAATTTTGATTGAAATTGCATTAAATCTGCATAGTGTTTTTGGTACTATGGTCATTTTACAATATTAATTCTGCCTATCCAAGAACAAGGTAGATCTTTCCATCTTGTAAGGTTTTTTTTAATTTCTTTCTGTAGTGTTCTATAGTTTTCATTATAGAGTTCTTTCACCTCTTTCATTAAGTTGATTTCCAAGTATTCTTTTGAGGCTATTGTAAATGGAGTAGTTTTCCTAATTTCTCTTTAAAAAAAAAATAGTGTACCACAATCAAGTGAGGTTCATCTGAGAGATGCAAGGTTGGTTCGACATAGAGAAATCATTAAATGCAATTCATCATCCCATCAATAGACTTAAAGAATCATATCATCATAACAGATGCAGAAAAAGCATTTGACAAAATACAGCACCCCTTCATTTCAAAACACTAGAAAAACTAGGGAAAATGGAAACATCTCAACATTGTAAAAGTTATCTATGCTAAGACCAAGGCCAACATCATTCTAAATGAAGAAAAATAAAATCGAAAGCATTCCCTCTAAAAACTGGAACACGACAGGATTGCCGTCTTTCACCACTTACATTTAACATAGTTTTTGAAACTCTAGCCAGAGCAATTAGAAAGACAAAAGAAATTAAAGGGATACAAATAGGAAAAGAAGAACTCAAACTATCACTTTTGGCTGACGACATGATTCTATACTTAAAGGATCTGAAAAATTCTACCAGAAACCTTCTAGAACTAATAAATCAATTTAGTAAAGTAGGATATAAAATCAACACCCATAAATCAAATGCATTTCTATACATTAGTATTGAATCCTCTGAAAGAGAAATTAGGAAAACTGCTCTTTTTACAATAGCCTCAAAAAATGATTTTTATCTTTAATCTCTGCATAACAAAAAAGTCTATAGAGAATTGACAAGTACAAACATAGATTTGGTTATAACATAATAAATTCTCTCTCTCTAAAATCTTTAAATTTGTCTTATCTTTCTTCAGGTGTGCTCATCTTTTGCTACAGGCCCCAGACAAAATGATGGAACATTCTATGAGTTTCATACCTATTCACTTAAACCCTCGAAGATGAATGAGTTCCTGGAAAACATCAAGAAAAACATGCATCTTCGGACAGCTCACTCTGAATTGGTTGGATGTTGGAGTGTAGAATTTGGAGGCAGAATGAATAAAGTGTTTCACATTTGGAAGTATGGTAGGAGTCATTCCACTTAAGTGTTTGTTATAGATTTTCATTCTGTTCCATGTTTCATGAAATTTAGTTCTTAAATCTATATTTATAAACTATATTTATAAATCTATTGTATTCATAGATATATACAGGTTAAGTAAAATCTTAATTTAAAAAGGAATACAGTACCAAAAAAGTAAATTCAGTGATTACTCTCACCAATGGTCTACTTCTAATAATTCCTTGCTCAAAGTCTTATATTACCATAACTTGGAAAACATTAATTCTCATATATGAAATGATAAAATTATAAACTAGCTTTAACACTCAGAAAATTTAGAATGGTTTATTACAAAGATGGTTGATAAAAATTTTAAGGTGGTGTTTGAAAAAGCCCAAATGTGTTAAGATCACAAAAGGAAAGAGGAAGTCTAATAATTTAAAAATTTAGGGCCATTAAGTAAATTGAGATTTAGAGAGGATCACAGATTTTAAACTTCATTCAACCATGAGATTTAATATTTCCGTTATGTTTAGAAACCAATTTTTTGTTTCATTTCTTACACCCCAGAGTTTCAAGGAATTTACTTTCATACTACTCAAAAGGAAAAGGAATCAGTTCTTCCCATGTCATACTGACCTACCCCTGAGGAAGGAAAAGAAGTTTCAAGAGTCACCAGAATGTTTGTTTCTCCATAATCTAGTCTGTTAGGGTCACATCAGGACTTGTGGATATCCAAAGACCTGGTAATAATTTTATTTACAATTTGATCATCAGTGTCCAGATTAATATTCATAAATGTTTTATTATGAAAAATATTCATTCTACACCTAACTATGGGCACAGTGTAGGGTTTTTACCTAGTGTAGTAAAACAAGCCCCATTGAAACACAACTTGTGCTTTAGATGTGCTACAAGTTAAATCATGGCCCTCTAAGAAAACTAATGAAGTCCTGCTATACCTCACTTTAGCTGTGAGATAGGTGTTATTCATTATCACCATCATAAACCATATAAAACTTTTATCATTAGTCTTATAAGGTCTTCATAGTAAATACAATGCTAGGCCCATATGTGGGTAAATGTCGATACCTGTTGGAATAACTCAGAAGAAAAATAAGTGCTGGGTGGAAAATGGCTGGTAATAAGTAAGAGAATCAACACTATTTTTTGAAGGCTCTTTGTTCAAAGGAGAAGAGACTCACCAAATACATTTTAATTTCATTTATTGTAATTTGATTCAAGGTTTATCTTGACCTGGGCACCTGTCACCACCAAAGAAAAATCTTTCTCTGAACTAGCACTATCAGTTAAATGCCTCAACTGAATTAATTAGTACACAAATGTTGATACTAACTGGGTGCTAAACATTGTTCTAGGCTCTTTTTGTGTATTAATTCAGTTAACCTTCACAACAATGTTATATTCTTTCCATTATACAGACTGAAAAACAGAATGCAGAAAGATACAGTAACTTACCTAATTCACACAAGCTTCTGCAAAGTCATAGAACCCATGAAGCCAATTCTGTGACATTTTGTATTTCTATTCCCCTTAAGCCCATGAACAACTTGAGGACAGATGTCACATCTTTTCGTGTTGGTATCTCCAAAGGCATAACAATGTTCCTCTGTGCTGCAGGTGAATGCTGTTTGGATGAAATCCAGAGAAGCATAGGTGATTTTAAGTTGTAAATGTTTCTTTTTCTTAATTCTTTTCTCCCATAGAGAATTTTGCTCATCGAACTGCAGTTCAGAAAGCCTTGGCTAAAGATAAGGAATGGCAAGAACAATTCCTCATTCCAAATTTGGCTCTCATTGATAAGCAAGAGAGTGAGATTACTTACCTGGTGCCATGGTGCAAATTAGAAAAGCCTCCAAAAGAGGGTAAGTCACTTTCCTTCTTCACCACTTAGAATTTAGATGAATGAAATACTAAAGATCTTAGGTGATAAAAGGTGAAGTTCCACTAGCAAACAAGGAAGTTAATCCTTTGTTTTATGGGAACATACTGTGGTTATTAAGATGAAACTAAGTTGAATCTTCCAGCTTATGCTTAAAATGAGAATTAAATAATGAGGAATTTTTCCAAATTGAAATTTTACACATTACTAAGTTTAGCTGTTACAGAAAACGTCTACATAGTCAGTTAAAGTTGAGAAATTGCACATTAGAAATAGGGACCACATGTGGGAAAATAAAGAATAATTTTAAGGTAACATAAATATTTAAATAAGAATATTTTCCACAAAATATAATTAATCTTAAGTCATGAGTACACCTTTGCTTATAAAATTAACTATTTGAGGGGGGTGAATTAACTGAATCTACCTATTTATATCACTATAGTTTTTGTGTCTAACTTTTGTGTCTTCCTCTTTCTTCTCAGTTTGAAAATAATTCCTTAAGATATATCTTCTTGCTGATTTCACTTCTTGATGATTTAAAGAAACTATTGCTTCAATCCAGTATTAAACCAAGGTCAGAATAGAAAAATCAATTTAGATTTATTTTATTTCCAACTCTGTTTTTAGACTACACTACAAAGAAACTTGACAAGAATTATTTAGATCCTACTTAGATCTCTTTCTCTGTCAGCACTATCTAGATAAAATAGTTGACTTCTCAGACAGTGTCTAACATTGATCCTCTTCCTCTTTTTTATTAACCTGAGTAATCTTTGCATGTTTTCCTGTACCTTTCAAATCTACTTGTCTCTAGTTTCTTTCTACCAGTCCTTTATTTCTGTCCAGAAGATAAAATACATTTCAACTACATACTTGGATATTTAGGGATAATAAAATCTCATTAGGTTTGTTTGGGTTTTTTTCCTCCAAAACTCAGAGACATTACTTTATTTTCATTGTTTTCTATGTTCTTCCTGTTAGAAAAAGAAACTTACAGGAGAGAGAAATATAAATGGAAAAAAGTACAAATTGGAAAGAAGAATGAAAATATAGGAGACATTGGAAAATTATTCTTTTCTGAAAGTATAGACTTGGCTCAAAAATCCGATTTCATTATAAATTCTTAATATCTGTTTTATTAATAGATTTTTATATTAAAATATTTCAGATCATAGTTCATATATTTATAACTCCAGACTTTTTATCATCTGCATGATAACCAAAGCAAAGAAAAATAATGCAAATACAATAAATATGTCTATATAACCATATATGATCCTCTAAATCTGTATTTGTAGATTAGTTTTCCGTGGAAACAAGACAGACATGATTAGAAAATGCTGGAATATCTTCTGTAAAATAGTCCTTTTTCTTTCTGTTTTAGGAGTCTATGAATTGGCTTCTTTTCAGATGAAACCTGGCGGCCCAGCTCTGTGGGGTGATGCATTTAAAAGGGCAGTTCATGCCCATGTAAATCTAGGCTATACAAAACTAGTTGGTGTTTTCCATGCAGAATATGGAGCACTCAACACAGGTATAGTTATCTGTTTCATCTATAAAATTTCAGTGGTGATCTACTAATAAGTTCCTTGGATAAGTTTCTCTCTCTCATACTGTACATTTTATTTTTTATTGCCAAATTTTTGTATTTTTGTCAACTTTAAGGGTCGAAAAAACGTGTCACATCTTTTTATTTAAAATGTTAACATCTTTATGAAGCCTTTTCAAACACAGAACTGCTATTTTCCTGATTATCAAAATGATTTAATTTTAATAGGTGCCAGAATCTCAAGAAATAACCTATTTCTTTTAAATATTTTTTCTTCTGAATTTTTTTATTGATTTTGAAACAATATTTCTGGGGAGATTGTTTCTGAATAAAAACATAATTTATTTATTCATTCATGTATTAATTAATTTATTTATACTAAAGTCCCCCCATAAAAATTCACCCATTTCCATTTGGGGCATGTATTTATATACATGTATGTACATATCCATTGGTAAATTTGTAAATATAAATTTATTTAATAAAATACGTATTTGGAGTATTTAGCTTTTAAATGTATTTTTTTGTGTGCATAGCCCTGGTGATTGAACTTAGGACGATGCACATGCTAGGCAATGCTCTACCACTGGACTATATCCCCAGCCCACAGTATTTTAACTTTTAAATTTGAAAGATATTACCATCAGAATTTCAAAATTTTTTTGACAAATTCTGAAAATACTTGTAAAGCTTATCTGAAAGGACAGATGACAAAGAATAGCTAGTAAATATTTGAAAGACTGATAATACACAGTTACCTTTTATCTTCTCTATTTTATGTACAATGGAAATCTCAAACCTAATATAATCAGTGCTGAGCTTCCAACTCAACACAGATAATTCATCTCTTTTCTGAAATGCAATGGACCAGAAGTATGTCAGATTTTTTACTTTTGGATTAGGGATATTCAGCCTGTTTATCATAAGAAAATGGTCATAATATACAAAAACAGATGTATATTTATGTTGGAAAATAATGGAGGAGAAAAATTATTATAAAAATTATCTCATACTATATGCTAAAATAAAATGAAGATTTTAATAGATTTCAATGAAAAAATTTAATTCATAGAATTGCTAAAACTTTATGTGGATGAACTTACTTAAAAATATGAATGGGGACTATATTCCTAAGCTAAAAATAGAAACAAAAATGAAGAAAAAAAATTGATGACTTTATTATAAAAAGGCTCAAACAAATATGTGGAACAAATCATCATAAGTTAATTTCAAAAGCAAAAAGGAAATGAAAATTTATGTAAAGGTAGTAACACATATGACTGTCAAATATAAAAGAAGAGGCAGATTAAAAATAGTAAGCAGATACCACTTTTTACTTAATGTAGACTTGCTTATATGGGTATAATGTTAGATCAGGAGTAAATAAGTACTCAAATAATATATAGGGTTCACATTAATCTTTCCTTCCCAAATTGGGCCATATTAATAAAAAATTATTTTCATTGTCTTTGGCAGTATTCTAGAAAATATGCAGGAGTGCATATATCTATAAGGGCTTTCAGTTATATATGAAAGAAATTTGAAAGTATATAAAGTAGTCATATTTGAGTGATGAGATTAAAGGTTACTGAAAGTCTCTCTTTTAATCTCTGATGTTGTGTATGTATGATTCTTATAACTTTTTTATAAGAATTCTAGGAAATTCATTTTCAGTATTCTAGGAAAATGTGGCATGATGAGTATAAATCAGTACAGCTTCTTTTTATATTTATCTTCCATTTTAGGAAGACAGTGTATAATACATACAATATATAGACAGTATAATAAATACACTATTTGAAAATTTAAAATATATGTATATGTATATAAGATATACTCCTTGGATCTCTCACTTTACATTTTAGGAGATTTTGTTAAGGAAATAAACAGATACAAACAGCCTGGATTTGAATCCCAGCACCATTGCTTAGTAATTTTATGACCTTGGGTAAGTTAACCTCACTGGGCCTTAGTTTCCTCATCTATACAATGATGATAGTAATAACCTATCATCTAGATTATTATGAGGACTAAATGAGTTAACACATGAAAAATGTTTAAAATCAAGCAAGGTATTACACATGTGAAATCCCAGCTATCAGGAGACTGAGGCAGGAGGATTACAACTTCAAGGCCAGTCTGGGAAACTTAGCAAGATTTTATCTAAAAATAAAAATAAAAAGCACTACAAATATAATTCAGTGGTAGAGCACATGCTTAGCATGCCCAAGGCGGGACAGTTTCCATCACTAGAGACAAACACATTCCAGGCAATTAAATGTTAGCAGTAGTAGTCACCATCATCATTATTATAGATACATACATAGGTGTGTTCAAATGAAATTTATGTAAATATTGTTTATATAATAAATAATGTGGTATGACCTTCTTTATGTAATATATTATGTGATATAGAAATATGCTATATATATTTGTAGTATAAAATGTATGCATAGATATAAATATATGTATAGATATGTCTATAAATATTCATATATTTCATATACATAACAACATATATATAATATGTATAAGTATGGAAAGACATAAACCAAATATAAAACTAGTTATTTCTGGGTAGTACAGAAATGATTCCTAGCTTCTCTTTGTGTTTATCTGTATTTTTCAATACCTCTACTTTGTATTACATTGCAATTATAAAAAAAATGTATAAATAATTATATACAAGAATATTTATTCCAGAATTTTATAGAATAGTGAAATATTGGAAATAATCTAAATGGCCAACAATAAAGATTAGTATAAAAAGTTGCTGTGTATTATGAAGGAATCCATATCATCATTAAAAAATAATATTATTACCACAGAAGATAATCACTGTTAATTTTAAAGAATCTGTTAGTAAGCATAATATACAATAGACCCTAAGTTAACTTTTAAAGGAAATGCCCTAGGGGTTTTCTCTAGGTAGTTAACATTATGCTATTTTTTGTTTTCCTGTTTGTTTCATATAAATTTTCTATAATAAACACAATTTTTTATAACCTTGGTTTTTTGTAATAAAGTCAACTATAGTAGGAACTCATGAAATTTGAGTGTGTCTTTAACTGTCTTACCTTACTTTCCTTTTCCAGCTTTCTGTTTTTACACCTAGAGAGAGAGAGAGAGAGAGAGAGAGAGAGAGAGAAAGAGAGTTTGATTAATTCATGTATAAATTTCTTTCTCAAGTCTCTGATTCCTCTGAAATCTTATCATCTAAATATTTATTTACTGACATTTTAATTTAAAATAATAGGTTTTTTTTACTCACTCTCACTTTAAGAATTATTCTTTTGCCCATGGCAATGTCAATGTCATACTCTTTAGAAACAATTTTGGCTTATTTCTGCAGTTCATGTTCTTTGGTGGAATGAAAGTGCAGACAGTCGTGCAGCTGGGAGGCACCATTCCCATGAGGATCCCAGAGTCGTGGCAGCTGGTAAGCTATTTCACTAGGCATGGGTTATTTTTACAACAAACTTGATTTGCTCAATAACTTTATATGCCTTCTTATGAAATGTTTTTCCAGTTCGGGAAAGTGTCAACTACCTAGTGTCTCAGCAGAATATGCTTCTGACTCCTGCATCATTTTCACCATTGAAATAGTGTTCTACTGAAACACAAAAGATTTCATTAATTGGTATAAAATATGTCTGCTAATGGTGTTTAAGTTCTCCCAAGAGAATTATTCTCACTTTTATTTTAAGGAGGTGATAAATTAATTTACTATGTCCCTTACATTTTATAAAGCTCTCACCACCACTTTAGGAAGTAAAGAGTTCATTTTTCCCATGGCATTTCAATATCTGTCACATATTAAAAATATCTACCATTTGGAAAATAATGTTATTTGGTCCTGAGATTAAAAATCTTTGAAGACTTTTTGGTTTACATACTGAAATGCCTTCATTTATAATTAATTGTACTAATATTTACTTCATTTTGCATTCTACTTAACAAAGATACTTGCCACTATTTCAAGATCTTGATTTTTCATTCATTTCAGAGGATGTCTTCTGTACGTTGACAAACCTTTATTCAAATACTAATGTTATATTTCCATGCTTGAAACAATAGTTTTAAATTATTAATATACATTGTCAAACTTTTAATCGTGTCTGTTTTCCTGATTTTCCTAATTTTTGTCAAGTAAAGTTTATTTTATAATATCAAATGGTATTCATGAGAATATTAAACATATTTATTTGTCATGGAAAAGTACATTATCATTTGTGTCATCTGTGTTAATTATGGTCACACATTAGCTCTATTGTCACTGAATTGGAAAATAAAATTATTAGGTCCTAGTATTTAAAGTCTTTGAAGACTCTTTGGTTTGTATGCTGAAATGTCTTCATTTATAATTAATTTTACAAATATTTACTTTATTTTGGATCCTACTTAACATAAGATGCTTGAGATATCTTTGTTTGAATGTGATCTTCATGGATATGGAAATGTTTGACCTAATAAAAGCCTACCTGTATATTCTGATTATTTTTCTGTTTTATATTTTTATCATCTCTGAAGCTGTTGCTTTAACAGTATGCTACCAAACTCAGGATGAGACTTCTTTAGTACTTCCACAGATGTGCTACAAATTTAGTTTTTGTTTTGAGTGCTTCCAACTTAAAAGAGACTTCATATTTCCAAGTTTCCTCATAGCTGTATTTACAACTATATTATTTTAATTTTTATTGATTTTATTATGTTAATTTTTAACATGTATTGAAAATATAACATAATGAATTATGTCTGAGATAAAATTGAAAAACAGAAAGTATGTCACTTCTCATTTATTGAGCCCTCAGAAATCCAAAGGACAGATTAATTTCATAGTAAGGCAAAGAATACTCTTGACTCTGGAGGTAAAAAAACTATCAAAGACATTAGAGCCATTAGCTCTGAGTTATGTTTAAGAGTTTTTTTCTTGATGTTCCTTTGAAAAGACTTCACATAGGAAACTGGGTGGTGGAGGTAGTATTAATTGCAGTCACTGTGGACAGACTTTCTTTCTAGTATGAGACAAGCTTCTATATCCAAACCATTGGGGTCATGGAAGTGTACAACTGCCTCTGCCTTTTCCTTTTCCATACATCTTGTGATCAGTTTGAACACTTGCTGGTAAGAGCCAATCATTCTTTGCTTATACACACCAATTTATGGCCTTGATGGAGATTTATAGACAGGCAGTGTTATTAACATACAGACAAAATAGGAAGCTAGCAGGCTTCACTCCACTGATGAACTTCAATCATCCCTGGCATGAGAGTAACTATAAGGGTCTGCTTCTGTTCTGCTCAAGAGTTCTATGGGTCCTGGACCTTGGGGAAATGGCACAAAGGAAAGCTGAGAAGCAATAATAGAGATAATTTTTGAGGAAGCTATGGAAGGTACTTCATTTTCCAGTGGTATAAATTGACTTTAAGAATTATTCTTTTCCCTAGTCTTCCTTAGTTCCTGATGGTCCTTCAAAACCCAGAAGGAAAAGAAAGGAATATAGGCAGTTTTGATACCTCTGTTATTCCAGTCCTTCTTGGGCCCATGCCAAAGGCCTGAATACTTCTTGAGTCCCTATGATCAACTGGAAGTCTGACTTTGGGGAAAGAGTAAGTAGGAGATGAAAAACATTCCTTGAATGAGCCAAATTAAAAAAACCACCTTACAGATCAAAGTTTGACCAACTAGAAGCTTTTTCATTCCAAAGTAATATTTGCATTATACATGACATATTTGTACATCATGCCTCTTTCTCTGAAATTCATGCTCATTATCACTCCAGCACATTCTTACCATCTGAAGTCATTGAGAACTACTAACCTAGAGACTCAGCTGACCAAGGTGTTGGGAAGAAAATTTAAAGAAGCATTCTAGAGCATCAGCTAAGTATTCAACAGTGTACTATGATGTCTGGAAACTATAAGGCTGTTAAAAAAAAATATTCCACAGTCAAAATAGGCTCAGTCGTCCCAGGGCTCTCCTCATGATTCCATGTATTAGAGTCCATCCGTGAGAAAGGATCTAAAACACTTTATGCACAACATTTTATGAGTAACATTAACATTATATTTTATATAAACAAAAACTTTAAAAGGATAATGGTTGTCTCTGATCAAGCAACTAGTAAGTGGCAGAAGTCAAATTTGAATCCATACTTTGTTTCATTCTAGACCAGCCTGCCTCAAACTTTTAGCTGAAAATTGAATATTCACGATAGCTCTCGCCATCATGTCTAGTTAGGGATAACATCCTAACTTTGCAGTAGAAACATCAAGCCATAATCTGACAATCCCCCCAGGGGGTGCACTATTTGTAGGCCTTCATCTCCTCTAATCAATGATGATAAAGCATGGACTACAATTAGTAAAGAGTTACCTTTTGGCTATGATCTGCACATACATCTTCACTAGGTAATCTGAGATGTTCCTTCCCGTCAGATTCTGAAGGATGTCTGCAGTGTTCTGTTTTCTCTGTCACCACATAAAAATCAAGCATGTGTGTCTTCTTAGACAAGAATTGGCACATAAAACATATCACGGGCTACAGTGACACATGTTCTTCCAACACATGCCATTATATGACTGGAGCCCTAACCACAGGGCCCAGGCATCACCCTCCACCAACCACCACCAAGATCTGGTCCATGCTGCCCTCAGAACTGGTCATTCATATATAGCATGCCAAGATCTTCCCTGGGGAATTACTCTAAATAGCTAAACAATAAGCACTGAGATGTGATTTTTCTTCACCACAAGAGATGTTAAGGAGCAAAATTGTAAACTATGCCTATTGAGTTTTTGTGTTCATTGGGGTTATACTGATGTCTGGATTAGTAGTTATTTTAGGGTGGTAACCATGACTTCTCACATCCACTTAAAATTGATTGTCCTTACCTTGCAACCTATATGCTGATAAAATTGCAGAGAGCCATCACAATCAATACCATTCCTGAAATTGTCAGGAAAAAAATGGCTCAGATGTCCTTCCCAAAGTTAGAATATCAGAGAATGACAGAATTGATAAGGCCTACAAAAGTTTTCTGGTTCAGCCTCCCTAATCCAGAAGTGAAGAAAGAGGCCTACGTGGGCTGGGGATATAGCTCAGTTGGCAAAGTGCTTGCCCTGCATGCACAAGGCCCTGGGTTCAATCCCCAGCACCACAAAAAAAAAAAAAAAAAAAAAAAAAAAAAAAAAAAGAGAGAGAGAGAGAGAAAGAGGCCTATGTGTTAATTTCACCTGAAGAAGGCCCATAACTGTTAGATATTAGACCTGTGACAGTTTCCTATGGCTCCATCACTTTGGGACAGGCCATAGCATGTCTTCCATAGCCCATTCATCCAGAGTATTTTACTCTGATTTTAACTAAAACAAACCTATGCTGATCTCAAGTAGAGAAAAAAGCTAAATTCCCTCACACAGAGGCACAATGTGGGCCAAAATTCCTCCCCTCGAAGCTCATGCTTTTTAAGATCACAGCTCGAACATGACATGATATTTCATTCATTCCTGATCACAAACAGAAACTACCAGCCCACCCTTCCATTTGCTCAGTTATACACTAAAGCACTACAACCAAAGTCAACAAAAGCATAGGTACAAATATCCTCAGAAAGAATGAGTTTTTTTGTACAAGGAACAACAGGGGATGCAGTAGGGCTAGAAGGTGATGAACTAAAAGGAGGAATAATGGGAAATGAGGAAGAGGGAAACAGAGGAGTCAGATGACACAGGCCTGTTCAATGTGCTAAAAATCTTCTGGAGAGTGACAAGACTCACTTCAGTTTTGAAAATGAGTACAGAACTGGAGGAAGAGAGGGAATGAGAGTGAGCTATAGTCTGAATGTCTGAATCTTAACCCCCAAGGTTGTGGGATTAGGAGGTGGGATCTGTGGGGAGGTGATTAGGTCTTAACAGGATTAGTGTCCTTATAAGAAGGATCCAGAGAGTGCCTTGCCCATTACAACATGTAAGGATACAGCAAAGCAGCAAATATATAAAGAGCAGATCTTTACACCAGACACCAAATCTGCCAGCATCCTGATCTTGGACTCTGCAGCCTCCAGAAGTGTGAGAATAAATGTTTTTTGTTTATAAACCACTCATCTTGTTGTGTGTTGTTAAAATAGCAGCCTGGGTGGACTAAGACACAGTGCTTGGTATAGGAAAGCTAGGTTGTTTAAAACACCCCAGG